CAGTAAAGAAATAACAGAGACGTTACGGGGAGAGAAACGGCGGCAAGGACGAAGGGTGGCATGCAAAACCCAGACGCCTGGTTCATCTGCTCTGGATGAAAATATACCCCGATTAGGAGGAAGAAAGATCTCAATACGTCATACGCTAAGGAGGAAAATAAGCCGCGAAACCAACTCTACAAACAAATAACTCAAAAGAAAAATCTTCCAAAACAGCGAGCACAGGGCTATGAAAACAAATGGAAAACAAGACGGTGATAAATCCAAAGGCACAGGACAGAATGGATGCACCTGAGAATACTGTAAAGAAAGAACAAACGGAAAATGCCAGGTGATCAAAGCAATTAGAGAAAAGAGGACAGAACCAGAGAAGGAAAAGCCCACATAAGAGCAGTTGTGTCCCCACACTGGAGAACAGCATGGAGGTTCCTGAAAAAACTAAAAACAGAGTTACCATATGATCCTACAATCCCACTCCTGGGCATATACCCTGAGAAAACCATAATTCAAAAAGATACATGTATCCCAATGTTCATCGCAGCTCTATTTACAACAGTCACGACATGGAAGCAACCTAAGTGTCCACTGACAGATGAATGGATAAAGAAGATTTGGGGGGCTTCCCTGGTGGCGCAGTGGTTGAGAGTCCGCCTGCCGATGCAGGGGACGCGGGTTCGTGCCCCGGTCCGGGAAGATCCCACGTGCCGCGGAGCGGCTGGGCCCGTGAGCCGTGGCCGCTGAGCCTGCGCGTCCGGAGCCTGTGCTCCGCAACGGGAGAGGCCGCAGCGGTGAGAGGCCGGCGTACCACAAAAAAAATTAAAAAAGATTTGATACACACACACACACACACACACACACACACACACACACACACACAGGAATACTACTCAGCCATAAAAGAGAACGAAATAATGTCATTTGCAGCAACATGAATGGACCTAGAGATTATCATACTAAGTGAAGTAAGTCAGACAGAGAAAGACATATCATATCGCTTATATGTGGAATCTAAAATATGACACAAATGAACTTATTTATAAAACAGGAAGAGACTCACAGACATAGAAAACAAACACATGGTTACCAAAGGGGAAAGTGGGGGGAGGGATAAATTAGGAGTTTGGAATTAACAGATGCATATCACTATATATAAAATAGATAAACAACAAGCACCTACTGTATATAGCACAGGGAACTATGCTCAATATCTCGTAATAACCTATAATGGAAAAGAATTTGAAAAAGAATAGATATACACGCATATGCATAACTGAATCACTTTGCTGTACACGTGACACTAACACAACACTGTAAATCAACTACACTTCAATTTAAAAAAAGAGCAATTTTGTCTCTGAAACAGAGAACGCTTCCCCCAGAGGGGAAGAGAAAAAAGGACAAATCTGCGAAGCAGATTACAAGCAGCATCTGCAGATCAGAAGCTTTTCCAGGAAACACAGAACGGCCAGCACCAAACACTTCCTGGTCTAGTAAGTAAAACTGATTCTTTAGGAATCCATTAAAGAAAAACACCAAGTGTCCGACAAGGTGTGTCCAAAGCGAGTTCAGGGCAAGCGGACCATGGAACAACATCCCTGCAGATCTGGGGCAACGTGGGGCGGGAACTGACTCAAAGATCACACAGGAAAACCACACGCAAGCCGACGATTTCAAGCACATCGTTGATGCTTGTTATTTGCAGACTCCGTATCTGGAAATTTGCCTATTTGCTGAAATGTACTGGGAACCTCAAATCAATTCTTGTGGCACCTCTGTGACCACTTACAGACACAGCACAGACACGCCCGTTCCCAGCTGAGTTTGAACAGAGGACCTGCTACCTTGTGTGTCAGCTGTGATCTTGTAAACAAGTGCCCTCATCCTAGTCTATTCAGTGCTCCGTTTTTGCATTTCTGTGCTTTCCCTGGGCACCATGCTGAAGTGGGGTCTGGTGTCCATGGGTGAAAAGGCTGTGACGTGCCTCGGGGAGAAATCACGTGTCAGCTGGGCTGCATCCAGGTGTGAGTTACAGGCTGCTGGCCGTGAGCTCGGTGTTAATAATGAGTCAACTCTATGTATTAAGTAACATTCTTCACACAGAAACGCACCTACAACAAGGCTGCATACTGATCCGCGGATGAAGATGCAACCAGAGGCTCGCAGGATCCTCACCTGTGTGTCACCTGTGGACGACGGCCCAGGACTCCCTGGATCAAGGAGACTTCAAAGAGCATCCCGACCGCCAGTGATGAGACCAGTGGGCCGTTCACTGCGGAAGCACTGCCCCCAGGACCTCTTCCTGAAAAAACCCTGGACAGTCAACTGCATCCACTTAAGAGGTGGAATGAAAGGAAGAGCTGTGACGAGAAGGCCACCGTCCACCCAGCAATGAGCAGTGACCCTGGAAGACGGCCTGAGAGATGCCGGGGCTCTGAGAGCTGCAGCAGGATGCGCGTTACGCGGGGTGGACGGTGGCCACGTGCAGAGAGCTCGACACCAACAAGAGTCGGGGGGTGGGGAGGAGAGGCCGCGCGTGTGCGCGCGTGTGCGCGCGTGTGCGCACGCGTGTGCACGTGTGTGTGCACGCGTGTGCGCGCGTGTGCGCGTGTGTGCGCGCGTGTGCGCGCGTGTGCGCGTGCAAACAGCTGCCTGTTCTCCACACACTGTGACCTTTTCCTTCCCAGGTTCAGAGCTAAACTACATTCCTCAGCCTCCCCTGGGGTCAGGTGCTTGGGGTCAGGTGCAGCCTGCGGAGGACGTGAGGGAAGGTGGGAGGAGAGACGTGGTCCATGGGTTACCTCTTTTCCCTGCCTCATCCTCCGAGCAGACACAGGAGAGCCAGGGGAGGACTCCAGAGGCCGGGGCATGTCCCCACCACCCGGCTGGAGGAGCCTGGGTCCCTGAATGGCTGCATGGATCACAACTGCCACCGCCACCTCTTCATTCCTGCCAATCCCCAGTGGACTGAGAAATAAAGCATCTGTGGGTCAAGTGCTTGAGATCTGGAGGTCTGTTTATCACAGCTATCAGCTTAATCCACCCCAAACAATACAAGGAGAGAACAGTAAGTTCCTTACAGCAATAAAAAAAGGAGGCAAAAAGCTGTAACCAAAAGTGACAACAAATAAAGATTTCAGCCTTCCAGTGTTTTGTAATTGTTTCTTTTAAGTTTACGGATTCATTTGGAAACAGTCTCCCTTATGGCAAAAAAAAATAAAATAACTGAAGTTCAACATTTCCTTCACTGATGTTTTCTCCTTTTAGAGTCAAATGAAATCATCATAATGATGTTGATTTATTAACAGCTGTGTACTTTGAGCCTTACCCACGTATTTCTATCCGTACACGGCCACCCGTTACCTGTAACCCTTTGGAGAGACACGCCTGAAATGTTCATTAAATGTTACTGACAACCACTTCTGGCACTGGCATCTGTGCTTTTCCATATGACGAAGTTTTTATAACAACCTTGTTAACTTTTATAAGAGTTGTTAAATGACATGGAAGAAAGAAGAGCTGGGACTTCCCTGGCGGTCCAGTGGTTGGGACCTTCCAGTGCAGGGGGATGTGGGTTCGATCCCTGGGCAGGGAGCTAGGATCCCACATGCCTCTGGGCCAAAAAACCAAAACACAGAACACAAGCAATACTGTAACAAATTCAATAAAGACTATAAAAAAAATAGTCCACATCAAAAAAAATAAAAATCTTTAAGAAAAGAAAAGGAAGAGCTGAACGCCAGGACAGCCACATTGCTGGATTCATTCTGGGGTTCAGGTCGCCCTGAGCTCTCCCTAGAAGGTAGGGCCGTCTGGCCTCGCTCTTAGATGACCAGTGTCAGCAGCACAGCACCCTCGGCCAACGTAGGGCCCCTCCCCAGAGAGCAGGGCTGGGGGAGACCACGAGCAGAGGTCTCCTGGGAGAGCAGAGACCCCCCCACCCCCGAGGCACCAAACATACTCATTAGACACCCGGGGGCACCAGGAGATGAGGTCCCGGGTCAGAGGCCACGTGATGCACCTGCACCAAATGGCCAGGTGGTGGCGCCGTGAGCCACCCCCACCCCCCACCCCACCCCACCCCACGCCCTGCCCAAGTCCCTCTGATCCCAAGCGCCGCCCCTTCCCCATCAGGGCCTTCAAGTACAAAGGCTGGACGTGGCACACCCAACCACCCTTCCAGAGGCGCCCACTCAGCCTGACTGTGGGTCTGCCATCTGCTGGCCTCCAGAAAGCCCCTCCTGGATTCCCTGACCCATCCCAGCCTCCCCGTTGGCCCAGACACCGTACCCAGTAGCCAGACCATGGACAGCGTCTTGGGGGGGTTCAAGTCCAGCCCAGCCCAATGGGTCCCCCGCCACACTGTACCCCACTGCCAGGTGCTCCCCTTCCAGGCTTCCGCGTGCGTCCCTGTCACCTGCCATGCCGGCGCCAGAGGGAAAGCCTCCTCCATCTTCCAAGGCCCCGCTGAAATGGAACCACGGCCGGGAAGACCCCTCTCCTGCACCCCCAGGTACCTCACGCACGTTCACCCCAGAACGACGGTCTTCCTCGTGGGCGATGCTGCAAACAGCATTGGGCCTGGGCCTCCAGGGACAGCTAGGAGGTGGCCATCAGGCAGCGCGGGGAAGGGCACACCGGACACAGCTTGCACACCCCAGGAAGTGGGGGGCACAGAGTGGCAGGGGAAGAGGCAGGGCCCTCCTGAGTGCTGGCAGCCCGCCTGCTAAGGCGCCCACTGTGCGCGTTGCCGCTGCAAGGCTTGTCTCTGTGCCCCCGAGGCTTGGCCTCCGTCCCTGAGGCCAGCAGGTGCTGCTGGCAGTGCACAAAGAGGACGGAGGGGGAGGTGGTCGGGACCCCCAGGAGGGGGCAGGCGGGGCGGGGGGCTTGGCGGGGAGGGGGCAGGAGCCCAACGCGTGGGCCACAGGGACCGGCCGGGCAGAGGGGCCCAGGGGCATCTGGAGTTCAGGTCACGGCTGACGCTGACCCGGGCGCAGGCTCACCGTCTGCTGCAGGTCCTCGATGACGATTCGCAGCACCAGCGTGTTGCCCTGGCTCTCCTCTGTCCTGGCGCCGCCCGGCTTTTCTGCTGTGGCCCGGATGGTGTCGTAAATGGTCTCTTCCTTGGAGCTGTCCGAGTCCGATTCGTCCGAAGAGTAGGAGAAGCTCTGGGCCATCTCGTCCTCGCTGGACGTCGGGCTGCGCGGCATGGCTGTTTGTGTCTACACGGAGGGGGAGAAGGCAAACAGACTTTGGGGGAAACTGAAGAAAGAACCCGGGGGCATCTGAGTGAGGCAGGCTGCCACGTTTGTGGGCGTGATCACAGGCAGAGTGATCCGTGTCCAGCGCTCGAGCCAGGAGGCCGCCAGGACCCAGTGGCGACCCCATGAGCTCTGTCTGCCCAGGTGCTTGGAAACCCAGCATTTAAAAGGAGCCCTAACTCGCTGTGGCCATGACCACAGCTTACGGGGATTAACCAAAGGGGCAGTGGGGCAGTTTGAAACGTTCCGAGGTAAGAGAAAAGGCTCCCTTTGTTTTTCCTGGAGGACAGAGAAGCAGGAAGGGAAGAGATGCAGGCTTCAGGGTCAGAAGGGTGCTGAGCTCCTGCTATAATAACACCCTCTGCTTCAAACACAGCAATGATAGGTATCGTGTAAAAACAGACCCAGCGCGCAGGGCCAGGCTCAGAAATGAGATGATCTCCAGGCCCAGGAGTGCAGCAGAACCCAAAGTCGTGGGCAGGCTGACGGGGGAGGCTCGGGGGTCCCCAAGAGCCCGTGGAGGCTGGGAGGGCAGCTTCCTTACCATCAAGCGCAATGAAAGTTCAAAGTTCCCCAAGAAGGACCCAGGTCAGGAGGCCAACTGCCACCTTGGACCACGGCTGTTAGCAGGACAGAACTGGGGAGCAGGCAGCCCACTGGGACACCCCCAGCTCTATGGGCGGGGGTCCAGAAAGGTTCGGATAAAAGCCAGTGCGACCCGGGGGTGCTGGTGGGGAACGAACGTGCCAAACCAGCAGTTGCACTTCTGCGTGACTCTGTTAGGGAGGTCAAAGGCCAAGGTCACGTGCACAGGAAAGATGTCCAAGACTGTTCCCTGCAAAACCAGGGTGTCCTGGGCGACCCGGCTCACAGGCTCGCTTCTTCCCACGGACTGCACAGCTGTGAGCAGGCTTGAACCCCAGCTACACACGCAGGACCCCAAATGTAATCCTGAGAAAGGAAATCGGTCTGTAGGACCATTCAGACACGGTGTCCTTGTTCACAAAGGTTGGAAAGATGCAGACTTGTCTACTGACTGTGAGTGTGATGTGAGTGACGGGGCAGAGGCACCGACGGGAAACACAAAGTCCTCAAAGTCGGGAGGGGCAGAAAGGGGTTCACAGGGCCTGTGACGCCACTTGTAACGTTCGGTTCCAGCCAACAGGACAGAATGCCAAACTTCGACAAACCTGGGGACACAGATGTGTGCTACATTATTCTCTGTGCTTTCCTTTCAGTGTTGGAAATATTTCACAGCAGAAGGAGGGGATGGGGGAGGGAGGAAGGAGGGAGAAAAGCAGGAGGCATATTTATTGTGTTTCTACTGTGTGCTGGACACTGTTCTAGACCCTGAGGGCACAGCAGGGAACAAGACAAAGAGCGGTCATGTTAGTGGGGGAGATAGATTGCAAACAAGAGCTAGAAATGGGGTGGGTGGAGAGAGAGGGGGAGGAAGGGGAGGGAAGGAGGGAGGGAAAGATGAAAGAAAAGCAGGAGGGAGGGGGGAGGGGGGGAGGGAGGAACACGGTCACCTGCCCGTCTGCCTCAGGTGCTGGGGTGCATGGCCCCTGCACTGTTTCATTTTGCGGGGAGCCTCAGAAAAGTCCCAGGTAGGACAAAGCTCGGCCACTACCAACTCGGTGTCCAGTCTGGGAAGGCTGATGCCCACCATTTATTTCCAGAGTTCATTGAAGGACACCCCGGGAAGTGTTTCTCTGCTCGTCCACCAGGTCCCTGGACATTTGCAGCAACTGACCAGACACAAAAAGCCCAGCAAAGTGCAGGAGCCACTTTAGAAACGCACCCTCACCCAGGGAAAGGCAGGACCGTGACTAGGTCAGGGGCTCCCTTACAGCCACGAAGATCTGGACCATCCTTGGGCAAGGGGCCAGGATAGTGTGGCCCACAGATGCTGTTCTGTTTGGCCTGCAGAGGGTTTAGAATGTGTCCTAACCCAGAGGTTGCACATGAAAACACAGATTTCTGGCTCACTGTGACCATCGGGAGAATCTGGCGTTGCTGGGGGTGGCCACACAGCGCTCGGGGCAGGAGCCAGCTGCGGTGACCTCCCTGGCCAGCCCGCCCTCCCCCCCAGGTCCTCCCGGAACCAAGAGGCTCCATGCTGCCAGGTCTCCCTCCTGCCCGGCTCTCTCCCTGGCCCACGGGCAGTGAGTCTGTGCACCTGACGACCGATCCACCCAATCCCCCAGGCTGGCCTCTCTTCTGTCTTCTGCCTTCAGACCACCCGTGAGGGGTCTCCAGCTAAACATCTCAAAGAGCAGATCATCCAAATCACCCAGGGATATGTGACTTCTTAAATTAAAATTTCCAAAATTCACCCTTGTCATTCTGCATTAAAATTTCAGGGCACCTGGGGATTCCTGTATTCACTGCCAAATGCCTTTGTCATTTCAGCTTAATGTTTTCCCAACCATACAAGTGCAAAATGTGGTGAGAGGGCGGAGAGGGCTGTGGCCAAGGGCAGGGTCTGGATACTCCCGGTTCTACCTTAGGAAGGTCCCAGACGGCCTGGCTGCAACTTCTAACACGTTCACTCCTGCATTCGCTCATTCACCATTTATACAGGAAAAAAATAAGTGCCTGGCATAATTACGTGCCACATATACACTACATAATATATAATACAGTTACAATTATAATATAGAAATAATTGTATATTATTATATTACATATAATTATGTGTATGTAATTATAATATACTATAACGTAATATAAATGTAAATTGTGTATTATACAGTTGGGTATACATAATTATTTCCAACTAGGGTTCCAGGTTTCTATGAAGCATATCCTCTAGAACAGGGGTTCTTCATCCTGGCTGCACAGGGAAGTTACCTGGGATCTTTAAAAACAAAAACAAAAACAGTGGTGCCAGACGATCTGATTCAGTTGGTCCGGGTGAGGCCCCAATATCGACATTATCTTTAGACGCCCCCCCAGCTGAATGCAATGAGTGAGAGCTCCGGGTCGCCTGGAGCCGAGTCCGTGCCTGTAACTGTGAATCACTAGGCATCAGCACAGAGAGGCACAGAGGGATGAGGCCAGCCTCCTCCTGGGGGGTGAGGGGCCACGTCAGTGGTGGATGGGACGGGCGCGGGTGTCGGGCCTGGTCCCCGCGGGCTGTGGCGGCTTCTGTGTGTCCTGATGGGTGGGGTTGGTGCAGAGGAGCTGCTGCCCCAGGAGGAACAGCTTCTTCCCCTCCTGACCCCGTGGCTGTGCCGCTTCATAAGCCAGCAGGGACCAGCAGAAAATAGGCAGAGGGATAATGGGACGGGACATCACATCACAGGTGGGATCCGCACCAAATGAGGAGGGACCACGGTCAGGTCCGTGGGAGGCCAGGCACGGGCAGGGGCAGAAGCGTCTGCTGGTGGGGTAGGGTTAGGGTGGGGGTAGGGTTAGGGCTAGGGTTGGGGTAGGGGGTAGGGGGTAGGGTTGGGGTAGGGTTAGGGTTAGGGTTAGGGTTAGGGTTGGGGTAGGGGTAGGGTTAGGGTTGGGGTAGGGGCTAGGGTTGGGGTAGGGTTAGGGTTAGGGAACGGGGACAGTTTAGGGTACAGGTTAGAGTATGACAGCGGTTTAGGGTTAGCGTACGTGTTTCGG